CCGTTGCTCTGCCAACCATGTTTGATCAATAGCTGGAATAAGGTACAACCTTTGTATGYAATAGTATGTCCTATGTGAAAAATAGCAAACCCCAATGTGCTTGACAAAAATGATAACCAATCCTGGATTACTTCMAGTGAGCAGTTATGATGCTSTTAAAAGCATATTCCCCCAAGACATAAGGCCATGGCATGGTTAAGTATTCCAACTTCTGTGATGTTCATTGATACAGTCATATGACCTCTAATGTGATCATGGTACCACTCTTTCAGTGATAGATGGTTAAGCTTCTTTCTGGCACACATGGCAACTTTTGAATATTTCTAATAAGCAGCTCTGGAATACTATAAACTTTTCTCCGAATAGAGATGATTCATTGTTTCCATGTGAGGTCTTATCCTTTTTTAGCAATTCTTCTTCATCTAGACCATAGTTAGACCTAAGGATATAAATATTATCCATTGTTTTTGTTTTTAATAAAAGGTTAAATAGACTAACACTTTTAAGTTAAAAAGTTTAAAAAGTGGTTCTTATATAATATATAGCACTACACTACTATAACCAGTCTTTGTCGTCATAATTGTCATAATTTTCGACGTCGTCATATACTTTTGAATGTTGACACGATGGACGGTTGCTATGCAGTTTGCTCCCGGAAGCGCGGGCGCGCAAATGACAGCGGCTTACTTMAAAAGTAATAACATAACTACAATTGTAGCAGCAATGGCGGGAACGAYGAGTGAATCAAAAAAGCTAAATCTTGCTCCTATTGGGATGCAAGACAACACCGAGCGAGGGGAGAAGTTTTGGAATAAGACTTCAGTTGAAATGAAGTTTTCAACTGAAAGGCAGTGGATTAGAAGTGTCCGGTTTTTGGAAAGCAAACCGAATTACGTGTCCGGTTTTTGGAAAGCAAACCGAATTACGGAATGCAAAATTTAGACCCCGTCTTAGATGAAATTACCGGCAACAAACTTGAAATTGTTGAACCGATGGTCGACGGGTTCCTTAAAGAAATCGGTGGTCTTATGTTCTCAAAACTGTCAAGATCAGGACATGACAGGACTCATGGCTCCCATATCATTGTTTATTCCTTACTAGATATTCAAGCATATATGGGTGCTAGTTTCAGGATATGGAGGCGATGTTAATGCTTCTAAAGATGGCCAAAAAATCTCTCTACTTGTAAATAAGCCTCATACAGCTGAAAAAGTTTGGTCACCCGCAARATTTTCAGGAGAKAATTTTCTTTTAAGGAGAAATTTCGAGAAAATCCCTGAGAATGGCAGAATGGTTTTCCATTACAAAGGCAAAGCTAGTGTTGTGATAACCAACAAAACACCACTGAAAATAGATTATTCAATGAAGCAACAAAAGGCAGTAGTGACCTTTTATGTACAGCGATATGACAAGGAAGATTTTGCCATTGATGCTAGTCTTCAGAACCTGATGATGTAGTGAAATTAAACAAGTACAGAAAATGAACTCATTATTTGTATAGTGAAATTTATTGAMCTGACTCAGAGGTCAACAATCACACAATAGTTATTCAATATCTATCATTTAACATCTATAGAATATACATATGTACAAACACAAAATGTGTGAAATGTACTCTGAACTGTTTTGTAGTAATATATTGCTAATTAAACAATAGAGAAATAGAAAGCTTAATTTTGAGTAGTATTTAGAGGTACTTATATTGCACACTTTCAGTGTTTGTACATGTCCTCTATTTCACTTTGATAACAGCTACATGTACACATGTTGAATTGCATTGATGCAAAGAAATTCATATACTATAATCATTCTTTTATTGATAGTTTTGTACTTATTTATTCTTAATAAACTGAAATAACATTTTCCCTTGTTATTTAGGAAATATATGTAGCATATATGAGTACATATAAAGTTCTTGTACAATCTCCTAGGATAGGTARTATGGTATTATGCATTGTATATTATTTATTTATCAATTTTGAGTGGTTTTCATTACCGATTAAATGTCATTTTTGTCAATTAGCTGGTACCTTATCTTTTCATTATTATGTCTAATAATGCACACATTTTAGTATTTCATTCAACTTTGGGTAAGCAAGGACAAGCAAAGAAAACCACTATTTTATTTAATTTAAAGAGTACAAACACAAAAACTRTGCAACATAGTAGCAAATATTGCTAATTCAAAAATAAAAAAAAACTAATGGCATAATTTATCAGCATTTAGTTGTGTAATGTTACACACTCTTTGTGTAACAACAATGGAGTAAATGAATACTTTTTTTACAATTGATTTTTTAATATTTCAATATATATCCACTTTTAATTACACAATCACTATGATTTTAATTAAATATCTATTTTATAAATTCTAAATTTTCACTTTGCGCAGATAGAAAAAATATATTGTTAATAGCTACCATTATTCACTTGACAATCTACCCTCCAATCGTGTCACTAATACTTGCTTATTTCCAGATACAGACAAACCCCTTGCCCTAAGTTCTTCTTTTAAATCACTGACTGACAAAGATTTTGGATTTATAGACTTAACTCTGCTTGTAGTTTCCTTACCACTATGCTGCAWGTTCATATGTTTTGTSAACATCAAATTTTCTGCAAACCTTTTGCTGCAGTCTTTGCAAATAACAGGCTTCATTATTTCAATAACCTCAGGGATATGATGTTGCTCTTGGGCACTTGTGACAACAAAATGAACTAGAGGGTTAGTACAAACAATACAGACATCACCTAAGAGTTCCCTTCCACAATCACAGATGTTAGAATCTTCACAGTGAGGGGGTATTCGGGACTTATAATGAGATATGTATGAGGGGGGTGARGGCDGATGCTCTGGCAAATAAAATGCTCTTATGCAATTTGATCTCATTACTTGCCACCACTTACCTGCACCAGCACCCTTATTTGATTGATTTGTCAAAGCAAGTTCCTCCTTAAGGCCAGCATGTTTAGATTCTTTGGCTTGCAATGAGATGATGCCAAAGCCAACTTTATATGTGTCAAATAAAAATTTAGCATGATAGGGTATTGCGTACCCCATTGTCCAAACAGTTACATTCACATTACTATTAAAAAACAATGCCGAGAGATTGAAATACAACTGACAGTAATCCTGCAATTGAAGGACTTCACTTTGGTTAGTATGAATCTTGTTGAATAACCCACCTGCATTTCGTAAATACTCAGCTGCCTTCGACAAAGCTAGTCTTGTGAGTTCCTGGTTAGGTGACTCATCTGGCAGACGAAGACTGTCAACTAGTCTGTAGCCATACCTAGCAAGATTTATAGCCTGTTCACCAATCAATCTTATTGACAGTCTGTTGTACCTCTTGGATGTATCATCATAGTGTTCTTTAATCTTTGAAGCAATGTATTATGCAAGGCCACATCCAGAAATTTGACCTCTGTAGGAAACATTAATAGTGTTAGATTTTTTTAGAACCTCCTCATACCTTTTCTGTGAATTATCTAGTAACATTGAGTTACTAGAAACTTGGGCACTTGTTAGGTTGGGAGATAAATCATGAGTGCTTTCAGCTGTCTCAGGGCTCTCACTACCATTATGTATTTGATCATGTTGGTTAACACACAAAGGAGCAGACAAAACATCAAAAAATTGTGAGATCTTTGTACAGATTCATTATAAATAAGAGTTAACAAATGCTGCCATGCATTAATTTCACAGTGCAGGGGATCTGGTCTTAGTCGGTCTACAAAGATACCAATCCTTGGAGGACCATCCTGGTGAATGCCATTTTCAGCCATGATTTCTTTGATTTTCATTGCTCATGGTTGAAAGAAAATCAGTAGTTTGTTTGAGATGTTGTTCTCTGATCTCCTGTGTGAATGGTTTCCACAAATTAGAACCCCCACTACCAATGCTTGCACCCAGGGTACACATATTGCCCTTATGGACATTTGCATAAGGGGAGGGATAAGTAGCTGCCTGGTTTAATTCATTGGCAGCCAAACTTTGCCAGATCATGTGAGATATGTCCAGTACTAGCCTATAGTATCCCCTGTCCTTCATACGAATCCCCCTGTCCCTCCAGGAATCGCCATGGACATCCCCTGATTGTCCTCATGTCCCCTAGGGGTAGACTGCTAGACTAGTATGTCATTCCTATCGCCCTTGTCCCTTAAAGGATCGCCATGGACATCCCCTGATTGTCCTCTTGTCCCCTAGGGGTAGACTGCTANATAAACAACCATGTATTTGGATTTTGAAAATAACGTTTCATTTATGAGTAAATTGAATTTTCGTGGAACGATGTAAATATGCTAATTTTCGAGCTATGAAATGGCGATAAACTGATGGCCTCGTTTGGTTAATGCATCAATGTTTTATGCTTAAAACATTTATAACATTTTATAAAAATATCACCCATTTTCTTTCATTTGGGCGAGTTTTAGACTTGTGGCTTATATCTAAAATTTCAGGCGAATTTTTATAAATGACACCTGTTTTTGATCGTTAAAACTACTATCAAAATAGCCGTCGATTTGACAAAGACCGATAYGATCAAATCAAATGATCTTTGCAGGATAAAATGTCAAGGAAGAGTTCTTTCGATCTATGTAAAAATATCGTTGGGTAAATGTGTTTATGTTTCGCTAGAACCGACCAAAGTTACCGAAATATTCATATTTTCAACAGGTGTGAAACCAACAAGTTGATAAACACGTCAACAAAATAGATCGCTWTATGTTGTGTTTCATACCAAAGAGCAAACATGAACTAAACTAAACATTTACCTTGTGTTTATCTCGAGAATTTTTGTGTTTTGAGACGTTCCAACCACTTTTAATCAGGCCATACTTGATCTCAATTGTGCAGTCATGGCAGTCGGGTTGCTTCCTGTAAGCTCCCGCTTCATTTTGCTGGTTTTGCTTGTTTTTAGCTTATGTCCTTAGCTTATTTCAACGAACGAATTTTCTCTGGAACAGGGTTAGGGTTTGATTCCGGAATTATTGATGCAGGGTAAAAATTCACGGGGTAAAAWTTCGGTCTACACGCAGGCTAGTGCTGGATTTTCTCTGGAACAGGATATCGTTTTCAACCGATTTCACTCTGGAACAGGGTATAGTTTTCAGCGATTTTACTCTGTAACAGGGTATAGTTTTCAACGATTTCACTCTGGAACATGGTATAGTTTTCAGCGAATTCACTCTGGAACAGGATCAGTGTTTTGACGTCCCAGCGACACACCCCCACCCATGTTTGGGGGGAGTACCCTCCTACCACTCCCCCCCCGGGTCCTGAAAACAAAATCAAACTTATTCTTAGTCGCGCATCCCTCTTTAAATCACGTCAAAAGTCACCGACATCAAAATTTGTCCAAATCATCGTGCAAACCTTGGTTTTGACTGGAGGAGAGGCTCAAATTMMAGRTGCAGAGTGACAAAAGCTTTGTCGAGGCACGGAAAAGTCGGAACGATGGCCAATAGTACTAGTAGATAGTCGATAGTATTGGGCCGGGTTCTTCAAAGCCCGATTTGCGTTAATCCAGGGTTAAACATAGGTTTTCTAAGAGTTAACCCTTATCGGGCTCTGAACTAACCAGTGTTGTAACCCCAGTTGTAAACCCAGTGTTCTAAACAAATTTTCTAAAACGCAGTTCGGCGGCCGTGCGCGCGGGCATAAAGGAAATCAATTACTCATAAGTGCCAATCAAATTTTGAATTGCTACAATTCTTTTTGTTTTGCTGAAATCATTCCTTTTTAGTATGTACAAAAACAAATTTTAGCGAAGGCAAAGTTCTATGAAAATCTCTTAATAAAACAGATAAACAACAAATAAAGTTTTACGATAAGAGTTAAAAATAGCATCACTTAGGGCGCCTAATTAACCACAGGAAGCCCAACAGAAGATCAAGTATGGCCTGATTAAAAGTGGTTAGAACGTCTCAAAACACAAAAATTCTCGAGATAAACACAAGGTAAATGTTTAGTTTAGTTTATGCTTGCTCTTGGGTATGAAACACAACATAAAGCGATCTATTTTGTTGACGTGTTTATCAACTTGTTGGTTTCACACCTGTTGAAAATATGAATATTTCGGTAACTTTGGTCGGTTCTAGCGAAGCATAAACACATTTACCCAACGATATTTTTACATAGATCGAAAGAACTCTTCCTTGACATTTTATCCTGCAAAGATCATTTGATTTGATCATATCGGTCTTTGTCAAATCGACGGCTATTTTGATAGTAGTTTTAACGATCAAAAACAGGTGTCATTTATAAAAATTCGCCAGAAATTTTAGATATAAGCCACAAGT